CCCACCGAATTCGGTTGTTAATCTCTCCTGACAACCGTTAATTTGACACGATTGGACAATCACATTGCACGTTTTCGTCTCATATTCCCCTCCAACCATCTTCCATCCCACCCCACCCCACCCCACTACTCCACTTCCCTCCCCAGGCAGGCACAATGTTTGCCTCTGCATTCCGACTGCCCATATTCCAAGGCATTCGGATCGGTTCCTGACTGAACTGGTAGAGCTTTGGTGTGCAACCCATAACCAAAGCACTCCAAAGCGTCCACCTCTGCACCACGAGGCAAGGGAGCATATCGCGTGCTGCCATGCACCATGAACCAGTTCCTTTCGCGTAGTCAGCATTAATTTCTGCTCGTTGCATGAAACACTTTTCCTTTCCATGAGATTTTAAATCCAGTATCAAGAAGTCGGAGGTGGTTTTTGTGGACTCTGCCCAAACCCCCTCCTCTTCCCCCTCCCCCACCCAATTTTCCGCTTTTCCTCCACCTTGTAAGTGTTGGCCACGGCCTATTTGTGCGCGCAAGTATGTGGAATGGGAACGTCAAATGGAGTTTAGTAAGTTGGTGTTAAAGGTGGGTATTGTGCGGAGGATTGGCGGAAACAAGCTGCACCTTAAAATATGTTCCTGGCCTTTCTCATGGTGGCATTCCATAAATTCATGTAAATTATCTCTTATGTTAGCCACTCAAGCGGGGCGGGCGGCACTCCTGTCAAGCAGTTGCGTCTTCGTCTAGAGACATCGGAGCGCATCGTTCACACAAATTCGAATGTTGAATTCGAACATCATGACTACTACTTTACATAATGGGTGAAGGACATTCACCTTTTTTAAACTGAACTTTGAAGAAGCATTTGCGTCACACATTTGGAATCTTTGCAACGAGTTTGCTCTCGCTTGTGGATATAGCACAGCTTCGCAAATCGGATGGGTATGTCGCTCATTAAGGCTTACTGTTGATCGTAGGCAAAAAGAAGTAGACCTGATCCTTGTCTCTGTCTACAGAAGGAGTTCAGTTTTGCGGTGAGGATGCAAGTTATTATTTTAGCTTAAGGCACTTACGCTCTCATTAGAAACTTCTTGGTATGCAATCAAAAAACTGACAAAAGTGGACGGTAAAATGAAATGCTTTGACTCAGATCTTTCCCTGCTATTGTTTTTGTGGCATTGAAGGACATTAACGAAAGTCAGTTTAGCGTAGAGCGCAGACAGCGACTTAATTGATGGGAGTGGAGTGGGTATTAACATTTACTCGAAAGATGACTGCCTCCTCATAAAGGGTCATCGAGGATGGAAGCAGCAGCAGCTTCTTTGGTCTCAAATAATTTTCATCTACCAAAAATGGACATGAGCAGGGCACCTGTTTTGCCTGCTCTGAGATGTCCGCGTAAAGTCGTGGTTTCCTAGTTAAGAGGAATACAAATTTTCTAGGAGTCAACTAGTTCCACTAAAGAAATTTTAACTTTTCGTTCATCATTGGCGTTGATTTTCGCATTCTAAAACGGCTTAAACAGTCGGTAAAGTGATAAAGCAAACCATCAAAATGACTCTTCTCTGCGGCCTAAAATTCCTTCCACTACGACCCTCTTAAGTTTAATGTATTTGTAACTGCCAATTAGCACTTTCTATCCCAGAAGGTGATAATTTCATAAAGCCTGCATTTGGGGTTCATAGAAAGGAAAAGATATTGCACTTTCATAGTTGCACGAAGGCAATGATCTCATCAAGCAGCGTTTCTATCTCAAGGGGCTGAATGACAAAGCTGCGAGATGGTGACACAAATAGACTGATTCTGAAAAGCGTAACGTTACGAGAAACTCACCTACCACCAAATTTGTAAGTTATAACTTCACTGCAAAGGAGTTCGTGCAAAAGGTCACCTAAAGGACCTTTCAGGATGCATCATAAAGGACAAATGCTAGCGATGATGGCTACAGTCTGTTCCGATCCACACTCCCATCATTCCTCAGAGAACATGCACCAATGCGAATGGATATGCGTGTCTTCCTTATTCATTCAATTAGCCACACCAAACTTGCTTTTCTCCTTACCACATATATGATAGTTGGTATTTTATTAAGCCACAATTAAGTGGGGGGACGGGGGGGATGGCGACGTGACAGGGTGTACTCCTACACTCAAATAACTCTACAAAGCAAGTGGCATTGTTCAATGCAAACAAAGAAGAGACTTATTTAAAACTACTAAAGGTCGGGAGGGATTGTTTCCTGTTACTTTTTGAACCCAAATGAGAGCTCTTGTTCTCTGAGAAGAATTTCCGATTTAACATTTTGTCTGTTAGCTAACGGAACATTAAGTCGTGCAAGTTATGCCTTTGCTATCTTATGTTGTAGAAGGATATACGTTTTAGGTAAAAAACGATTCACGAAAAACGACAACATTTTGATTTTATACGAGTCGACGTCATCCTACGCCAAACGGATGTTTGATGCGTCTTTAAGAAGGTGCGAAAGTGGACTGTGGAGGAGACAGGTTGAAGGCCGAGTAAAATTGTGAAGGACGGAAGCATTTATTTTGGCTGTCATATTACAGCCACCATTAGGCTCAGTTCAATGAGAATACACAATGCATGGCGCTTAGTGTAAGCTCATAAGAGTCTTTAAATCAGCATCAAGCACATGGCTGATTTGTGAGGCGAAATTATGTTTTAATTTGCAAGTTTTCGTCTACCGCAGGTTCGAATGTCTCGTTGGGTGGTCTGCGTCCCTTCATAATGCATGATTCCCATCCCTGTACCATTTCAGAGCTGACTTCGTTCGATGAGACAGAACATTCTCATAAATCATGATTAACACACCAACCTAGCCATTTAACAGGCAAATGTTGCTTTTCTAATTTGTTTTCAAGCCCTCATCAAAGTGTCTCCGAAACAGCATTCCTGCCCTAAGGCCGTATCAGGGATCTCGCATTAGTTTTGCGAGAGGTTGTAGGTTGTTGCGTGACAACAGAAGGGTATTTTGCCCTTTGTTCATAATTTATCGACCTTTGAATCAAAGGTGGAGTTTGCACATCAGAAAAGAGCATATCTAATAAACAACTGTATTCGTGTCGCCGGAAAATCGCTTACAATGTTACCGTCTTAACTCCCACATGGCACCAGTTTGTTGTTGTTTAAGCAACAGATAAGGCGTTCAGCATTTCCTTCCCCTCCCTTATGTACGCCTACCCACATGCACACGCACCCAGTCGCAAACCCCATCAATGTGAAAGCAAATGGAAGCAGTCTTAGCAGTTAATCAGTCGAATTTTGAATAACCATTGTTGCACTTTTAATTTATTGGTTCCAAAGAATTCGCGTAGTCGACCGCTTTCTAAAATCTTGACTTCTCATTGCATCCATCACCTTCGAGGCACCTGCAGTGGCATTTGACCGGGGATTCCAGACTCTCGTGATTCCAGCCTCGTGAACAGCTGACGTTTGATTGTCCTCAACTAAAAATTGATAGAGAAAATGACGGTTTAATCACAACGAAACTTTTCTATCTTTTATGGAGGCTTGAAGCATGCTATGTGGCAAAAGTATATGGAAATGATTTATTGAAGTAAATAATTGGTTACCAGTTAGAAGCTTCCAATGTCTTTTCGTTTGTGGATGGAGCATCTCATTGTCCACGGAAACCCAGCACATTTCCAGTTTTTTCGATTTTCTATTTTTATTATCAAAGACCGACTGTCAACATGCTCATAACCACCTTGAGGCGAAACCAAAACACGCGATTGTCGAACCGACTTATTGTCTGGCGCGGAGCAGCTAAACAAATTTACACAGGCTTTATGCATAAGGAGCAGTAGGCAGCGACGCCTCAAGAATTCTAAAGTCACCAAAACCCGCGGCTGTACATGGACAGACACCGCAATGCCATGCTTATTGAGACAGCCGTTGTTTTTTTTTACTTTTTTCTTTTCTGTATGCCACTAAATCACCTGATTTGAGTTGCTTTTGCGGACATATTTAAGCGCCAACAGGAGAGAAGAAAAAGCTGACCATGGAACAACCACTGTGAGGCCGTCAAATCACTACCAACGCCCTCCCTACAGCGACAAATCATTACATAGACTCGTGTGAAATTGGCTAAACTGGTTTATGACCAGCGCTATGGTTGTTTTGGATGCACTTCCTCCACAAAACCACTGAATTTTGACGTATTTACCCAAAGTTTATTGTTTCCTCTGCTAAAGTTTGTTTTAATAATTTGATGCGCGCAATAACTTCGTATCAAGCACATCGAGACACTGCATTAATTTTTAGCATGGATACTATTCAGGACAGTTAATAAAACCACAAGAAAAGCAAAATGCTAAAAGGAAAAATTTACATGTCTGTTCTGATTCGGGAGGAGGAGGGAGCCTAAAGGTGCTTATTGAGCTCCTGTAAATCATTTCGATGGGATTTTCATATCCATTAGGGCGGTAATAACTGCATCATGTGATTGCTGCTAGCAGTGTGGCTGATTGGCGAGATAAGTAAGAAAGGAGCCTCTTTTTTTCAGAAGAAAGTGATGCCTTTAACCATTTGCTAGCTTTCTGTATGGACTAAGAACATCTAATTGCTTACTTGTACTGTGTGACGAGGAAAAGAGTGTGAATAAAAGCGTTGAAGACAAGGCTAATGTAGTCACCCAACTTCAACGATCAGACGATGGAGGGAAGGAAGGAATTTTGTGATCAAAATTCCCAATTAGCTAGGACTCGGCTCACCCTGGCCACATTAAGACATCGTGAATGGAATCGTTTTATTCAGTAAGCATTGAATTTGTTTTTGCAATGTTTGTCTTAATTAGGCCTCCAAGTAAAGAAGGGGAAGAAAAAAAGTAGAGAGGAGACATGATTGTCGAGATGAAGTCATCAGCTCTTGTCGACAGATCAGAATGTCAGAAACAAAATATTTCGATACTGCTTGGACTAAGATTGTGTGTGAAATTAAGGGAAGATTGGGGATTTGGCAGCTTTGAAACGGCACTAACAAATTCAGATTGTACAACTCATTATTTCCATCACTTTGGATGCTTTATGGAATAGTCGCGCCTCATTCGGTGTAACAGTTTTTGGATGCTTATCTTGCGATCGTTCTCAAGGTGACATTCCGAAAGCAAATTTTTTGCCTACTTCGCTGACAGCTGGGAAGCGAGTGGGGAAGGCCACACGAGAACAGAACAGTGGTGCTCTTAGAGCCTCATTGGGAGACAGAAACGGCACCATTCTATTTGTATAGCTCTGGAAAATGTCTTCTTTTCAAGTGTTCTTGGTCCACAGAAGTTCCATAACGTAAAACAGTGAGTTTCTATTGCAAAAAACCGAAATTCTGAAGATTGAGAAGCCTTAGAGGTAAGACACTGATTTTCAGCTAATGTTCAGACACAGATTTGGTTGACTTGCAAGGGTTTCTCGGAAGGGGTCGGAGACGAAATTCGCATCTTGCTCCATGCGAAGGCGTGGAATATGAACTTAAGGAATCCAAAGACCACAGGAAACGTTTAACTGCTTCCTACCTCAAGACACTTTACAGGTACGTACTTCAAATCAACCTACAAAATGTGATCTCCAAAGGCTAGCATGTAAGTGGTCAAAAAATTCGTAAGCAAATCTTTCACATTAGGCAATAGTCGTATGTCTCGAACCTCCGACATAAGAAAAGCCTCAAACCAAATAAGCATTTGCTTATTCATTTAAAGCTTTCTCTTTTAGTTTTTCAGGAAAAAGATACACAAAACAAGCAGATAAATTTAATTGGTTAGAGGACTTGCATTGGTGTGTTGGTGCGATGTGGAGCTCCTCTTGAGGAGCCG